CCACTTCTTTAGCCACAATTTATTTAAGGTATTTTAATCCTCTTAGACCCTTTGCCTGCCTTGGAGGAGGACCTATGTCCTACTTATAAACCTATACCCATCAAGCTCCTGTAGTTTCTCTCCAACATTTGACTTGACTTTCCTTATCCTCCCAGTCTAAGGATGTTCCATGGCCGGAGGAGAGGAATTACTCTTTCCTTATTTCACACATACAAGGCAATGCCCCACAATTCTGAAAAACAGTCTGATTTGGGGCTTGATTCAGTGTCCTTGATTGCATAACGAGGCTGAAACTTTTATATTATGTAAAGTAACAGTTCCCATCTAATCCATGTCATTATATTTCTGCTCTTGCCTGAAATTGTGCCCTTCAAGCATAGCAGAAGTTGTGACTGCAAGGGTTGAATCACAGTGCAGTCATTGGCATATAACCGTGTTTTCTCATGAACAGGAGTCTGATATGGCAACTAAACCTCCAAGATTCCTCTTCCCTATCAGGTATGAGAAACAAGTTTGTGGTGGCCCATGCAAGCAGTAAATAACATTTTGAGTCCATTAACCAGTCACCATCAAAGGGATAATGAGGAGGAAGGGTCCATTCTTAGAAAGCAGAAGAGGACTAAAGAGGAATTTTCATTTTCACCTGTGATCAGGCTGTTGTACCCCTGCACTTTCTGGCTGAACACTGTCTAAAACATGGCTCAACAGCTTTTAGTTGCTCAAGTCACACACTATGGACATCATTCTCATATATATGGAATTAAACTTGATGTAATAAATATTTACTGCAAAACAACATCAAAGGAGCTCAGAAAATCTGTTTTCTGCCTGCACAAAATATCTATAGTAGAGCATTTTATATACAACTGTGTCTCTTTCTGACGGTATTTGGATCAACTCTGTTTGATGACAGAGACAGTAATTGCCAAACTTCAATACAGAGGTTCAAGCTAACTTTGGGAACTATTTTATCTGGGTATTTTAATTCAGCTCCTTATCTCTTTCTTTTCCTCCCAGTTGAACTCATTAGTGGTTTCCCAAAGATGAGTGGGAGTTAGAACTTTAGGGCTCTAATCTTGATTTAGTTGGACATGTTCCTTGAGTCATCTTCCTTATCTATGAGATGAGGATAGTGATTAAAATAATTGATTAAAAGCATTATTTTGGTTATTATCTACTAATTTGCATATGTCTCCTCTACACCATAGTCCTCCACATAGACCATGACAGACTTTGAAATCAGTTTCAGAGCAGCTCCTCTGTACTTTTCCATAACTTAGCCTTGAAATCCAAATATGTTCTTAGACTGGCAAAGTGAAGAGATCAAGCCCTACTCTTGCTCTGCTCAGTGGGGTTTTTTAAGGCAAGAGAGCTGGTCAGTAGCCACTTCAGGATGAACAAGTCAGAATTAATTGGTTTACCTCTTCAGATTTTCAGCTGAATCCTCTAATTCCTCAGATTCCATGTGAAAGACACTAGAAAATGTATCCTGTAATATCAAGAGGATGTTTGAATACACAGGTGTATAAGGTTGTCATTATTTAGAACAGTATTACTCATTAAAACCTTGTTGCAGGCTGTTATCAAGACCTGTTCTGTACTAAAGACAAGTGTAAGATTATTTAGCTTCATTCCACATCTGTCATCGAGCTGGATACTGGACCCTATCATAAAGGTATCTTTTGATACAACTTTAAATATCACTGTAGTGTCTTGAATCTCTATTCATGACCCAGAGAAGAAATGCCGGTATTTACAAGCCGTGCCAAAGTTATATGTCAGCACAGAACTGCTTTAATTCCACAAAGGCCAAAACCTCTCATGTTAACACCCAACCTGAGCAAATGCCATGAAAGAAAAGACAGAGAATGAAAAGACAACAGAACATATGAGAATGGAGGGAAGCTCACCCCACTCCCAGGGAATAAACAGTTCTGCCTTCAGACAAAATAAACATACTCACAGGACAGTCTTCATCCACTATGAAGATGGTACACCTCTGCACCTGCATGAAGGATATTATAGTGGCTGCTATCTTCTTCAGGATCACTTCCAAAGACTGCTGCTCTTCAAAAATCAGGCTGGCAAGGTCAAGAAGGACCTGAAGAAAAGGTCGTTTGTGAGGGTTTGACTAATTCATTTATGCAGTAATTATCGTTACTGATGAGTCTTCTCCTCTCCCCTGAATCAGGGAAGACAATGTTTATGTCTGTGACCAAAAGTAAGTTTTGGCTCTCACAGAATGCAAGGTAACAGTCAGTATTAGCCAATTTGACACTTTTTATGGAAGAATTAAATAGCATAGTAAGCTGTCTGATTCAGTTTTCTGTCAGAGAAGCAGAATAGATTTAGGCATTAAAAGGTCAAATGAAACCTGTGAAATCCAGACAACACAGTCACTTGTCCTTAGGAAACCCATTTTCCTATGGCTCAAGTGTGCATTCTCAAACCAGTGATATTTAAACTTCTTAAGACTTCTGAACACAGTTATTGGTTGTAATTCTAACAGAACCTAATTAACTCATTTGGTGAAAACATCATTTAGTACAATCTGCTGTATTTCAAAGCTGCTGTTGAAGTACTTAGGTGCTCAGATATGCTCATACTTTTTTTTTTCCTCACAAGAAACATGAAGGCAGTTTAATAAACTATCCAAATTTGTACCAATTTACAAACACTGGTAGTCAGTTGGAAACTCAGATCTACAGGAAAACTTTAAAACAACTGCTGCCTAGTCTTTCTCTGAAACATTATCACATCATACAGGGCAGGCATATTCACCCATAAAGGCCTTTGCATTAATAACCCATCAGTTACAAAGTTGGCAGCAAAGCAGAGCTATGGCAATCTCAAGGGAATTCAGTTTTCCATTTGATCATTACTGAAAACACAGTTAGTGACTGTTACAGCAGTAATTGCCCAAAGGAACAGTCTGGATGCTCTCTGCTATTCCACAGGGATATTCCTGCCTGTAATTTCTGGAGTCTGACACTTCTGGTTTTTTAATACATCAAGTGAAACACAGGATAACTTCAGGCAATATCAAGTGTATTAACATGGAATGAATTTTCTGACGTACAGCTTTACCTGCTTCCCCCTAGACAGGCCATTTCTCACAGCCCGGGCTGGAACGTGCCCAGCCTCTTCCTGGCACAGCTTGTGAGGAGAGCTTTATCAGAAACACACAGCATTCAGTCACAGGGATTAAAAGCAGCCAAGGAATAACTATCATATCAGAAAGAGGAAGAGGAGGCGCTGATAACTTGCAAACCCTCCTAATTTCTGTGTCCCTGGGACAAACCTGTTGGCCGTACCTGATTGCGCCTGTTCTCGAGCAGAGACGTCTCGTACAGCTGAGCGTTGTGAAGAACAATCCCACAAAAGGCCAAATATGCTGCAAAATCCTGGAGGCAAATGAACATCAACATCTCACAGAGAAAACATCCCACAGCATCCAAACTCTTGTTTTGTTTTCACTCTCAAGTATTAATTGATATTTTGTTATTTTTGGCAACCACATGTTCAGAGTCTGGGTTTTTTCCAGCTCCTTGTAATTTCTTATTTCCTCAAGAATCCCTTCTTTTTTTAAGCTCAACTCTGAAGAGCATTATCTTGGTATGAGTAGGGTTCATCTGAAAAGCAGCTTAGAGGGAAAAATAATTGTGCAACAATGCATATTTTATCTAGAAAAACTGACCACAGCAACTTGCCTTTCTGAGGGAATTCAATCCCTTGGGAAGTGAAAATAAAAATTTGCTAACATAGCAAATGCAAAATTTTTTTCCTCATTCTGGATGGGATTCATTCTGATAGCCTGCAGATAAGCAGCGTGCATTTTGTTTTAAGGGGGAAATTCTCAAAGAGAAAGGGTGAATTCTGGTTCTTTTATTTGTGATTGATAAGTCAACTTCAGCCTGAGCAGAGCCTGGCTTTCGCCCCACCTGTCTGAATGTGAAATCTAGAAAGTTCTGAAAAGCAACTGCACTGGGATAATTAGGAATCAATTCTGGCTGCTCTCCTGATTCCCTCATATATATTTTTCATAATTTGTCTAAAGCTTTTTCCTGCAAATGCTATATCCTGAAAAGTGACATGGTGTTGAAAAGAGAATCATGCCGCAAATTTTAATATTCAAATTATGTTTGTTGGGTTTGCCAGGAGAGTTAGAACCAATTAATTAAAAACTATGTCCATTGAAAGTTATGAAAGGGTTTTACAATGCATTCCAGTAGAGTAAGCCTGTGCTTTAGAGATATATGACATGGTGATCCTGAAATGAAATTATTTCACATCCACATTTCTCATGGCCTCAAAGAAAGAAAACTGCAATATTGCCAGTAATGTTTACTTTCTCAGAGATGTTTAATTTTCAATAACTTGAAAATTTTTGAGCAGCAGGAAAATGAAAAACATATCTATCCCCCTTCCCCTATGAAAAGCAAAGAGACAAACATCCAGCTTTTTATACCTTTTCGTCCTGTTCAGTGAAAGTGCCGCCAATTCCGGATTTCTTGTTGATTGCTTGAGCCACACCAACAACCTGAGTATTCAAAATGGAGAAATGAGTTTATTTTTAGGAGTTTGGATTCCATTGCTAGACTTATTTATATAAGTCAATATATAAATATATAATATAATAATCTATAATTTATATAAGATAATAAATTATCATTACAGGTATTCACTTGGTTGACTATGAAATCAAATGGTTAATATAATAAATGTTTTTCTCTCTCTCATGCATAAACATTTCCTAGATTACAGGATTTGAAGACTTGAGCCTTTCCCTAATATAATTCTGTATTTCCATTCCTTTTGAGACAAAGTATTATTAATCTGACAAAGTATAATGCAAAGCTTTTAGATATTTTCAGATTTTTTAAGCATTATTACAAAAACTGATAGAAAAAGCTGCAAAGAGCTTCTTTTGTTTGAAGTGTACTTAGTGTAAAACCAATGCAAAAGGCTAATGGGGTTTTTTTTTCATCTTGCTTTTTTAGGAAAAACATTATCAGAGGAAAACTCTGTGGTGAGCATGTTTAAAGAGGTGTATTTAACCATTCATGGTCAAGTTGTAACTGCTAAACTGATGGAAGACATGTGGTTTTATTTTTGTAAGGGAGAAGAAGGCGATTTACTGTCTCTCAGCCCAGCATTCCCAAAATACTGATGCTGTAAGTAAGGCCATTGTTCTTTGACATGAATTGCTGCCAACTGGTGGCTCAAAAATGTCTGAAATGAAGCTCAACTGTCAGCTCCATTCCATACAACCCTATTTTTCCCACAGTCAACCTCTTACTTACTTCAGTGAGGAGTATTTCTCATCCAGTGGACTTCCTTTCTGTAATAACAATGTACCACCAAGCCTATATGCTTCTCTGGCAGACTTTGAATGAAACCAAATCCCTTAACCAGTTAATATATGCTTTTATGTTAACCTACATGTGCAGAGGTTGATGCTTAGACCTCTTCTCATGCCACTGTCCTCCCTGGGTGCTGATTTAATTATTTTTTTTTCCCCAGTTTTGATCCAGCATGAGCTAAGACAACTTTAATGAGGCCAGAGGCTTTTCACCCAAAAGGTGAGTGCTTTCATGTTGCTTGTTTAAATACATCCCCCCCATGAAAGGAAAGTCTGCAGTGCTTAAAAAGAAGCTATAAGAAAACAGTAAAAGGATCATATGAATACAGGAAAAAAAAAAAAAAGACTATTTAGGCTCCTTTCATCAGCACTCCAGGTCTCAGATACATGAACAAAGGCAGGTGTTCCAAGATCAATGGTCAGTTTTAGATGTTTGGTAAGGTCTTTCAGTAAAGAATTTTAACTGAAGGGGAAAGAAATAATGAGGAGAATAAACCTGCAAAAATTTCATGTTAAATTGATTAGGATAAAAATTTTTGTGCAAATGCAAACCTTCCTCTTTTTAGTTGCTGTTTCAGTGGCATGCTAAGCTTCCAGACAACTTTATGTTGTGCCCATTTCTTTTTCATACAAAACAAACAGTTTTAAAATTAAACTGGTCCAAATTCTGGCTTCATTTTTATCAGCTTAAATTTCAGTGCACTTCTCAGAATTCCATAGAATATGGTGCAGACACTAATGAGAAAAACTTCAGACAGGCATTTTTTTAGCTATTGGAATCTTGCCTGCCACCAGGTAATTAGGAGAAGATGTAAGAAACCTGAGAGGATCTGCTCCTGTTACTAAAGTAATTATGTAATTAGGACAAAAGTCAATCATGTGGTAGCACTTGGGGCCGTGGAGAACATATGCCTGCATTTTAGAGAATACCAAGCAAAGTATGAAACCCAAATCCTCATTTTTAAAATTTATTCTAAACAAATCACAAATAGCAATAGGCAAAGTCTGTCATCTCCAGCTGGGAGTTAATGTTTGCACCAGCAGAAAAACTGAATCAAAAGGCCAACTGCTCTGGGCTCAGCTACACAGAGAGCTAAAAAAGCTCAAGATTACTCTGGACTGAAGAAAACCAAGGCTGAGAGAAAGACTGAAGTAATTGGGATCTGCTTATGCTTAGACACCTGTGATTTTATGGCCTGATCACTGAAGTAAGCAGTGTACTGTGGAGTGCTACAAGCTCCTTTTCCTGAGATTTCCTCCAATTTGGACTAGGCAGGTGGAGTTCTAGAACACAGTATTCTCTAGAGGAATCCTGCTGTTCCCAACAAGAGCCTTCTCCCAGGTTTGCTCTATTCAAAGAGCCCAAGGGGTGAGCAGAAGGAAATTCCCCTTGGATCAGAAACCAAGTACTTTGCTATTTTCTGTTCAGATCACATAATACACACATAGACCATAGAAACAAAAAGCTATTTTCATGATGGAATTTTCCCCTTACTTTCAGTCCCAAGGAAGGACAAACCTTCCATCAGTTGCTGATTCAATACACACACGTGTTTCACCACATCTAAACACAGCTTTCCTGATTGGTAACACAGGTGATCTTCCAATGCTCCACTTGTTCTCTAACCTTTCTTTTCTAGCTGTGCTACTTTTCTAATTTAATAAATCCTGATCCACATTACAAGGAGAGATTTCTTCTAATTATCAGAGAACTTCATTTCTACTGTTTTCTTGCAATAGCTGAGTCCTGCCTCTAAAAGTAGCTGGCTACCTTGAGTACCCAGTAGGTGACAACTGATAGACTTCATTGCTGATGACTCTGCTCTGGAAATTATATGGATGGTTTCCTGCTGCAATTTTTTGCACATTAAAATTACAGGCCTAACTCTGTGAAAGCTGTTCCAGCTCTACAGGCAGCTGGTGCCTTTTTCAGTAGGCTCTTACTTCAGCTGACTTCTGATGTAATTAATTTTGCTTCTTAAGGAGATAGCTTTTTTTATTTATTTTGCTGGCACCTGAAGGAAAATTGCATTAAAGCCAAAGAATAGTAACAGAAAATGGGAAAATGGACATTTTTGATAAGAGAACATACCCACATCGGAAGACAAAGTGGTATTGACCTTACTTTGCTCTTCTGGTCTTGTGTAGAGGTTGGATTCAAGCTTATAAAATTATCCTGCAGTGACAGAACTGTATTTACAGACTTTCATTTTGTATCAACAGAAATTTCACATCCCTTTCTATCATTCATGCCAACAGTAGCCTCCACGCTTTGCAGCAGTCTATCTACTATACTGTGTCTCAGCATAAGCTGAAAATCCATCCAAAAAGCAAATTACTGTCCTCCATAATCCTGCAGCAAGACTGCTGCCGGAACTGAGCTTGTTTCAAGTCAGCTTGGCCAGACTGCTCTGTCCTGCAATGACTGGGATGTATGATATCTGAAGAGTTCACTGGGGGAGAAAATAACTACAGGTGACATGCCCAGTCCCATTTTATTTGATAAAATTCAACAGAGGATTTTCAAAGGCTGTTATAAGTAGTAGCACCCCTGATTTGTTGGGAGGAGCCTCCCAGTGACAGGAGATAGGGCCCAGTAAACAACAAACCAAACAACTGAGTGAGCATTGCCAGAAAAAAAACACAAAACAACATTTCCCTAGCCGATTACTAGGAAATTCCATCTTCCATGCTCACAGCTTGAGAGAAACATCTCAGTTAATTCAGCTAAAAGCTCCATATGAGAAAATCCTACAGATTTTAGTAGAAATTAAACTGAGATTGACTTTTATGAAAATTACTATGCCCAGCTCAAAGAAAAAATAAATAGCAGCAATAACAGAAAAATTGTGTCACTCCTGGAGATGATGTATGGTAGCTTTGGTCGGTCTGTGCTTCAGAGACCATCCATTCTCCAGGTATTCCAAACCTGCTGGAGAGCTGTTCTCAGTCTTCCATCAGCTCTGGAGAACTCCACAAGTTGTTTTAAGCTGAGGAATAGAGTAAGGATGTCTATTCCCTATCCAGTCCTGTCAAAGCGACTGTTTGTTTACAAGCGTCTACAAAACCATGCCAAAGGTAAAGTTGTCTTACTGCACTGCACTGAGTCTCATTGTTACTAATTCCTGGGTCCTTTCCATGAGCTCTTCTGTGAATCAAATCGTTTTCATTTATGGAATTTCTTACTAGCTGTTATTTTTAAATGAGACTTTGGTTTCTCACACTCCTGATGGAAATATAGGCAAATGTGAAAAACATCTACTGGAAAAATCTCCGTACTTCAGCAGGCCCAGAGGATTTAGTAATCAGCATGAGATTTTCTTCCTCTCAATTACTGACTCTTTTGTTTTAAAAAAAATACCACTAATATTAAACAAACAAACAGAAAGCCCCAGTTGCTCCTCTTTCTCAGTGTTTATTTTTTGGATGCCTTCCAGAATCATCTTTTGACTGCAATTGCTGACATCCTGGGCTAAGGCAGCATTCACATGCATCAATATTTCTAGAGGGGCTTTGGGGATTTTTAAAAGGTTTCCTTTTGTTTTAACAGGGAGGAGCCAGTATTCTGGTTTGGTTGTTTGGGGGATTTTTAAACAGAAAAAGCAGCAGAATGGAAAATTAAGGACTGACTCACTGACTCCAACATCTCTCCAAGAAACATGTCAGTCATTTGTTACAGAAAGGATGAGAGAAACCTTCTGGTAGAGAATGTAAAACTCTGAAAAAAAATTAGGAACTGCCATCCTTTCCTGTAAGAAATCTCACAGTTTGACACCTTCAAATTATTGCCTATGAGTGTAACACTCCTCAAACTTCAGGTTGGCTGCACTTGTCAAAATAAATTCCTGCTTCATTTCCACTTGCTGATGCACTCAGGAGGAGGAAGCTGGCTGAAGACACGGCCCATTGCAGGTTTATTCAGCCCTTTAGTCATGGTGGACTGGACAAACAGACTGCAGCTCTTATTCCTTCCTCACCCACCACCGGCACCTGGTGAGAAGTGAGCACTTCCACACTCCCCAGCCAGCAGGGCTTTGTAGCTCATTTCTGTGCCCATAGCATCTTTTTCCATTTGACAAAAAGAAAATGGCATGGCTTGGGTGAAACCGGAAGCCTTGCATCAGCCTGACATGGACCACTGATCCCTGACAGTTCTTCACATGGCATCTGCTTCGCTCATCTGCTGGCCCAGGGCCAGTAGTGGCTGCTGCCAGGTGGAAAGAGGAAGACTTTTAAGAAGGAGTGGGAGTAGGAAGGATCAAGTGCTGTCCTTGGAAGAATGGAACAAAATAATTTAAGCTGAAATTTGCAGTATGTGAGGAAAGGAAATACTGGCTGATCATCTGGGTCAGCTACAACAAGAGTCAATAAACAAGTTAATGCAGAAGTTTAATTCATTTAATTTAAAAAAAAAAAAGATTCAGTGCAGCAGAAGTCAAGATGACACTCTCCAAGAGGAGTGAAAGATGGAAGAGCAGAAAAAAGAAGGTATGATGTCTTCAAATCAATCTTGGCAACGTTTCTTTTTGGGAGCTTGAGCTTTCTGGAAGCAAACTATAAATGCTCTGAAAAATAAATGAATTCCAGGAGAACAAAATCTCCATTTCAAAGCTCTGACACACTGTGTGGAGAGCCTTACCTTTTATGAGTATTCTAAAACCAGTGATGTGGCTGAAGGCCACTACAGTCAGGATCAAAGAAAACCCAGCCATACTTTCCTTACTCCCTAAATCAAAGAGTTCATCTCATCTTTCCCCCTTTCCCCCCTTGCATTGGATTGCATGGACTTCATTGAATTCACTCTTCAAATACTCAGGGCAAGAAGGTGTTGTTAGCTCATAATAATAATTTTCCCTACTGCAATAGCATGAGACAGGATGAGAGAGCTCCCATGAGAAGCAGCATGAACAGGAAATACGGACAAGAGTTCAGTGAGCAGCTTCACACTGTTTCAAATTAGGAGTGATTTAAGTTATGACTCGAGGATGACTTGTCTGAATCACATTGACACTGTGTGTTTTCAGTGCCTGGCACTTAGCTCATAAGTAATAAATTAGGAACCATGTTGAGTTAAGGGAGTGTAAAAATAATCAGGTTTTTAGACAATGATAAAACCCAGTTTGTGCCCTCTGAATGAAGCAATATAGATACAAGCTAAGCTGAAGTACAGTAACTTAATCACAATTTGAGATAGACCAGTAAGTCTGCAGAGAACTTTAATGCTGACAGATACTGAGTACAGGAAGCAGGAACAGCACTTCTGGAGTTAAATACATATATTCTACTGCTACATTTGGGATTAAACTCTTCCTGACAGTTCTCTTTGGCTTACATTACCCAGCTAGATAAGATAAAATTACAGTCTAAACAAACATAAACAGTCCTGCTAAAAAAAAAAAAAAGAAAAAAGATGGTTGGTAGATGATGACTGCCAGCTAATGAAAGTTTAAAGCATACACGTGACTGAAAAGTGAAGTGATCCCAAGATTGGAGCTTACCTCTTCCCTGTGATTCTTTATTGGCATACAGAGAATGCTCTGAGTCTTATACCCTGTGATCTGGTCAACTTCTGCATTGAATCTTGGATCCTGATACAAGAAAAAAATGTAATCAGTTCTTTTTCTTTCTTGGTTTATAGATTAAAAAAAAAAATAATATTTTATTTGACTGTTACCCAGGATAAGAAAGGTTTCATTACCTGCTAATAACTATATGAAGTTGTTACTACCAGTGTGTTAACAACAGAAAAGCATTTGTGTGGAACATGAGTGCCAACAGATTAAGACCACTGCTATAAAAACCAAAAAACCCAAACCCTAGGAGAAGCTTTTATTTTGAGCCTAGACCATCATTGTAATAAATATGCTCATGGATTAACCACACCTAGTTTACCTTTTATCATCATGAAGAAATTACATAAATAAACTAAAAGATCTGCGCCCACAGAGGAACACAGTTTCATAAAAGTGGTTAGTGGTTTTGTTTTCATCAGAGATTGCTCATTTCATTTATTCACCTCAGTACTGAACTCTGAATAATCACCTCAATAGAGCTCTGATTTTTTTTAGCCCTAGCTTCACGTTTCTGTATGCACTCGTATCTACAATACATGCATTACAACCAAAACCACGGTGTAGAGTTTGCATCTTGACCGCTTTAAGTCAATACAGCACCAAATACAGGCACTAAAATGGCAACATTCCAGCACGTGGTGGCTTCTTTTTCAAGAATTGCTGAAGATAAATTTCCTTGGCTTACCTCATAGGCATTCTTGATGTTGAGAGGCTGCCCTATGGCTGCCACGTGACCCACAATGCCCTTGTTCCACTCCAGGCGAATGCAGTTGTTGGAAGCTTCTTCCAGGGTGGATCCTTCTGCCACGTCAAACAGCCTGCTCACGAGAAACTTCTCATTGGAGCTGTCCTCACACACCAGGAACAGGGAATAGCGATCGGCTGCGATCAGCTCATGGATGTGTAGGAAGATCTTATGGCAAAGCGCTGTGACATCCAAGTGACTAGAAATATCTTTCACAAGTTCTAATAGTCTCGAGCACTGATCCCCTGCACTGGTCTCAATCCTTGGAGATTGCAGAGGCATCTGTTCCTTCTTGTCAGAGCCAGAGAGGAAGCTCACTGCTCCTACCGAGTCCTTGACAAAAATAGGCCTTAAGGGCCTGTCAAATTCAGAAGCGGAGATTTTCCTCGCTGGTGTCCCAGAGTTGGTGGTCTCGGCACAGGCAGGCTGGTGACAGGCACAGGCTTCGCTCTGGGACTTGGTTCCCTCCTTGCAGACTGGGATGGTGTGAACTCTCTCAGCAAACCATGCATTAACCATTTCTCTATAAAACAAAACCAAAAATACAAGGAATGACGTGAATTGAAAATCCTCTAGCTGACACTGTGAAAGGATAACTAAACCTTTTCAAACAGAGGACACTGATGCACCTTTAGACTCCTCTGTATCAATATTCTCCAATTTTATGCACCACTTAGCCCACATTAAGCAGTAACATTTTTTGCCCTATGAAAAAAAACCAACAAACTATTTTTGCCTAGAGGAAATACCTGAATAGGGCAGAGGAGGACCACTTATGCTGTGGCTTTCAGAGTACAGATCAGAAATTTGCACCACCATTTTTTGACTGAAAAGTTCCAGTCCTTTCTACTCCTAAGATTTGGATTTCTATATAAGACATATATAGATATATTCATTTCAAGACAAAATTTTCTGTTTCTAACCTCTAAAAAGATAAATTCTCTGTCAATCTCCTACAGCCCCTCCTGTTTTTCTGTTGCCAATATACTGTTTTTGAGTTAGCTTCCCCTACCCTTCCAAGTTAATATAAAATGCTGGTTGGACTCAAAGCATAAAAGTTTTACTTAAAAGCCATTAAATAAACATGCATATTACTAATTCAACCCCCTTCAAAATAAGAACAGACTGTTTTCATGCATCTCTCCTATTTCCTTTCCTTGTAGATGACACTCATTGTCCAACTCAGCCCTAAAACTGTCTTTTTAAGAGCTCATCACTAATCAAAAAATGGCATTCATATCTAGTATTCAACTGTGCTTCTCAAATTAACTTTGCATTAAGAAGCCAATCCTAATAATGTCCTCACTAAATACAGCACATCAGTACAACATAAGCACACTTTTTTTATCACTATAATATTTTCTTGTCCAAAATTGGAGGAGTTTTTGTTTCAGTTTCTTTTTGTCTTTTGCTTGGTTGGATTTTTTTTAAGTACAGGGCTTTTTATTTAATTTGTTCAGTGTTGAGGATTCCTCACAGCACATGCCCTCCCCTCAGAAAAAATGGATTTTTTCTGTATTACATAACATAACGAGCCTAGGAACAGCAAAAATCCTATTAACAAGTCTGATCTTTTGGAAACCTTTCATGGTGGTCATGTTTTAAATTTGGGATATTTTTTATTTGCTCAGCAGACCACAGGAATTCTGAGAGTGAAGCTGAATGAAGCCATGGAACTGAGTCAGGTTAGTCAGCCGCTGATCAGTTACACGCATCGGTGTACGTTACACATGAAAAGCACTGTACAACAGTCTTATTTTCCTTACAGCACACCTTGATCTTTGCTGTAGGATGCAATACTGCAAGCACAATTAACCCTTAACTCAAAGCAAAGAGATCAATTAAAACCTAAAGTCCAACAGTCCAGCAATGCTATTTGTAATAGCAAGCCACAAAAGCAAAGTCATTTGACTTCTTTTAGGAAGGCTTGAAAGAGATTTTTTGATCACATATCATTTAGAGACCTCAACAGCAGGCAAACATGCTGTAAAAAAAATGAATTATTAGAAACCAATGATCCTCCTTTATTAAAGCAGTGATACCTATTTTTTGCGCAGTAACCTCATCCAAGTGTTTCTTGAAGTGAAGCAAAGAACAATGAACATATTATTAGAAATTTGACTTTATTACTTTCAAGTACTTAAACAGGATAAACATTAAATGGGGGAGGTATGACCATTTATTACTGCAATGAATAATATGATTTGCATAGAACAGTGTCACATTTGCAAAAGCTGTTTCACTGAGAGTCAAAATAAGAAGCTAGCATTTGGTAACACTTGGAATTTTCATTTAATCGACCGAATGAGAAAAAATAAAAATTTTCAATGACCAAAAATATCCTTAAGAAAATTAAAAAGCTAAAGGTACAAAAAACTTTATGTAAATGTAGTACAACCTCTAAAATCGATGCTGCTAACTCTTGTTAGCAAATGTGTTATATGGGAGTCCTTTTTGTTTTACTCTGATCTCTTCATAATAAAAAATTATGAAATTAGAAATTTTAGCTTCTCCATAACAAAACTATCATCTAGCACTAAGGCTGCAGAAAAACCTGCAAATGCTGGCTGGAGGCATTTAAGCCTCAGACACAAGAAGGTAGGTATAGAAAAACTGATAGTTTTAAAGAAGATTGGTGATTTGACCCAATTCATGTGTGTGCTGACTTTGTTTCTGAGCACTGAGGACTGGCATTAATGGAAGGTAAGACTGAAAAGTAGCAGTAATAACACAGTACCAGATGGAGGGTGTTCTCCAACGACTGATGAGGCTCAAAAACCATGTAATTGCAAATGCACATGTTTGAAGGCATGTTTGGAAGTGAACCTGTGCTTTTGTTGGGTGACAGAAATTTGCAGAACAATCTGATTCACTGCTTAATTAGTCCTGAGGAAAGGAGTAAATATAAAAAGCTATCATTCTCCTGATTTACACTGAATTTACATGCGTGGATGTGTTGGTACAAGACACAAGGCAGAGAAAGAATCTGAAATTACCCTTCATGCATAAAGAAAAAGCTACAGCAGAAATCTGATTTATCAGTAGAAACCTGTCATTTTATTTATTCTGCCGCGTCGTGTTACCATTTCCCCAGGCCTTAATGGTATAGCAATAGCAATCAGTAAGAACAATGTCCTCTGAATGCTAATACCTGTTCTCAAGCTGTGGCCATGAGATTACTAATTTTTTTTTACCCTCTTGCCTTTTTACTGTGTAAAATAAGCATGCGTTTCTTATGGAGTTTATTGAGTGATGTAGAACACAGCTGTAAAACCTTTCACATGAAAGGAATTATGTTTAACAAGAACTGACTACTTGTTGGGTATCAATGCTGTTTATAAAGCACTTAAACATGGAACAGAATGATATGTGGAGCTGCATAATTATGAGTAACATATTCCTGTCCTTTAATTTCTCTTGGGTGATGGTTCAATAATTTGCCAACAGTGCGTGGCTCTCAGAAAACTCTTTAGATTAACAACAACTAATCCTTAACTAAATTGGGTAAAGCATGGTTTTCAAATTCAAGCCTTTTAAGCATTTTACTTTGGGCAACAGGAAAGCCATTCAAATTCAACTGGAAAAAGAACAGTGTTCAGTGACCTTTACGAAATGCCTCTTCTAACAAGGAAACTATTTAGCTCCTTTTACTTGCCCAGTTACACACACGGGTGGAAGAACCAGCATTTCGCATGAGCTGACGTATTCTAACGCTATTTAAAATCTCTCGGTGTCTTGACATGCGTTCTCTTGTTGACACTCAGTCCTATTTAACAATGCATGACAAGAAGGGTATTATGACTAACACAAGTACTCTCAGAGCACAGAATTAGCTCAGCAGTTATCTGACACCAGACACATCCTGAGCCACGAGTGAAGCTCCTGGAAATCAGCAACGAGTGCCATGTACAATTAAGAAGTCATTTTGAAAGGCCTGCAGGAAGAAGCCAACACTTGCGACTATTCATATGAACAGACTTCAGTTAGCATTGGAATTGTCAAGAGCTGATTGTAAGGACAAAACCCTGGCTGTAGTATAGAAGTTGCAGGAGCAGATACTGATCCATAGTGATCCATGCAGACAAACTCAATGCGGTGTCTATCCCACCACGGCAATCACCATGAGTTGAGGAGTTACAGCACCCAATATTCCTCATGACCAGGATGCATCTTTGCTGCACTATGATCCTTTAATACGAACCTTCACTCAAGAAATATGTAATTTATCCCAGAGCTCACGAACAGCAACAGTAGAATATGAAGTTACTATTTTTTAGTCACTCCCATCAGCCAAATCCAATCTTTCCTCTATAAAACATGACAGTAGTGACTGCTGAATTTGGCTGGTGACTTCATCAGCAGATGACAAAACTGGAAAGGAATTTTGAGATGATAGTGCTAAGAAGGGGATAAAAATGCAATGGCAGGCAAAACATTGAAGAAAAAAAACCAGAAAATATGGTGTGATCCTCCCCTCTATCACTGCTTATATACAAGCACACGTAATCTGCAGTACCAGAGACCTTGTGAGCTTCAGAGGAATTAAAACCCTTTGGCCCCGATTTGTTAAATGCTGCACAGAAAGTAGACCTGCCCCCAGAGCAAGAAGTTTTTGGTATAAATTGGCAATAAAAATAGAAAATCGATGTTTGAGAAAATGCAGGGATAAGGAAGCAACATGCCTTGAGCCAGGTCATGCAGGAGGGCACATGTAGAGCTGAAGAGACTCTTCCTGTATTTCCTGGGCTATGTGCATCAAACCATACTGACACAACACTAATTTCTATGCTACTCATACACTGGGAATATTAAATAATTCATTGTACCCATCTTTGCTTCATTGTGATTATCTTCAAAGCACACAGCAGACTTCTCAAAAAAAAAACAAACGCAAAACCCAACCCAGTGAAGGTGTTTAAGTATTAAAAGCCAGGTTGTGATTGTCTTGCTTACATACAGCCACACTACCTGTGTAAGAACACACCAAGGGGATCATTGAGCACAACTGCTTGGCACCTTTGGAGAAAATATACAAAAACCAGAATGCAGAGGTAACACTGAGATGCAGCAATGACAGTAAAAACTGCACGTTACTTGCCTGACACAAAGAATGCGTAACGCTTGCAGTTTTGTAAAACAGAACACAGTGATGAGTAGTTTTCAGTGAAACAGCAAATAATTCCCTGTTTTCTCTGTTACTCACAAACCGTTCATAAATACCACATGTAAGATTTTAGTAGTTGCATGGACTGTTCTGCTAATTTTTCATTCCAGCTAGCAGTTATTGGTAACACACTTCAGGAGAGGGATTACAAACTTGCCTACTAGAGAATGCCAGCTTACAGTGTCTGAATTCCTGTAGCCTAATCCTGTCGATGTTGAAACCAACAATATTTCAAGCTAAACTTTGGAACTGTTTTCTCAATTCCTTTCCATAAAATAACCACTAGATGTCTTCAAATTTCTCTCCAGCATCTTGACATAATTTAGACACAAAAATCATTTAAAGCATTAGCAAAAACTCCAAAACTATTTGGTTTCATCATAGGAGTTTTAAATGCAAAGCCACCTGGATATTATAATTGCCTTCCCATTTTCTTTCTAATACTTCCTATTTCACAATCACATTCTAAGTGGTTTTGTCTCTTTTCTAGCAATGGAAAGATTTAAATAAATTGTATAAGGCCTCATTAGATGGAAACAGTAAACTGACTGTAAAAGAAGTGTTTTCAAACTGACTACAAGAGTAGATTGATAAAAACAATTGATGTTTTTTCCTTAAACCCTTCCCAATTATAGTTAGTGGACATGCCACTTCTCACAGTAGTAGGCAAGCAACTCTGGAATACGAAGTACAACTGTGCCAGTTTTTTAGCACAATTCGGTCAAACATATTAGCATGCATTTAGCTTTAAATATTTCAATTGGCAGAAATTACTTCTGTTTGAATACAGTTCTTAATTTAGAATGCTAATTCTTGATTCAAACCATGCTCATGAGACTGAAATAACTTTATAGAATGATGAAATTTTCATCTTGTCTGAATGCTCTTTTTTTAAATAGAAGGCAGAGATTGCTTTATTAGCAAAAGTATTCAGATTGGGAAACTAACACTGTCAGCTATTCTTGGCTATTTTCAACTTTTGTTTAATAACCTAACTTCAAGCTTCACTTTTTACAAGAAAGCTTTCTTCCACAGAACAGACTTTCTACTTGCACTATAAAGAAAGACAGAATAAATCCCCAGGGATTCAAGTTCAAATTCTAAAACCTGACCTTTATTTCTCCTCCCTATGTTTGCTTCTTGCTCCGAACTCAAAAAAAGAAAAAATTAAAAATAACTAGGTACCAAATAATTTTTTTGGGGAAAGCAGTAGGATAATACCAGTAATTTCAGTGAAATGTGGATTAAGAGTTAAATTCCCACCTGCTTGGAGATCTCATGTAAATCTTCGGCGGTATTTCATTTCCACCTGAATCCCTAAACCAGGGGTTAGGTATGACTGAAGTGCTGCAGAGGCTTTGGCTCTCCCTCCTGGGGTGAGTTATCCATAATACACAGATAAGTGGAAAAAAATATGTATCTTTTACTAAGAAAATATATTTTGTGGTGATATTTTCAGTGCCAATGTGAAATTACAACCATTGTGTTATCCACGAGGGCATCTTTTCTGGCACTTTGCAA